TTGCTGCTGTTGATTATTGCTGCTGTTGATTATTGCTGCTGTTGATTATTGCTGCTGTTGATTACTGCTGCTGTTGATTATTGCTGCTGTTGATTATTGCTGCTGTTGATTATTGCTGCTGTTGATTACTGCTACTGTTGATTATTGCTGCTGTTGATTATTGCTGCTGTTGATTACTGCTGCTGTTGATTATTGCTGCTGTTGATTACTGCTACTGTTGATTATTGCTGCTGTTGATTACTGCTGCTGTTGATTATTGCTGCTGTTGATTACTGCTGCTGTTGATTACTGCTGCTGTTGATTATTGCTGCTGTTGATTATTGCTGCTGTTGATTACTGCTGCTGTTGATTATTGCTACTGTTGATTATTGCTACTGTTGATTACTGCTGCTGTTGATTATTGCTGCTGTTGATTATTGCTGCTGTTGATTATTGCTGCTGTTGATTACTGCTGCTGTTGATTATTGCTACTGTTGATTATTGCTACTGTTGATTACTGCTACTGTTGATTATTGCTACTGTTGATTATTGCTACTGTTGATTATTGCTGCTGTTGATTATTGCTGCTGTTGATTATTGCTGCTGTTGATTATTGCTACTGTTGATTACTGCTGCTGTTGATTATTGCTGCTGTTGATTATTGCTGCTGTTGATTATTGCTACTGTTGATTATTGCTACTGTTGATTATTGCTACTGTTGATTATTGCTACTGTTGATTATTGCTACTGTTGATTATTGCTACTGTTGATTATTGCTGCTGTTGATTATTGCTGCTGTTGATTATTGCTACTGTTGATTATTGCTACTGTTGATTATTGCTGCTGTTGATTACTGCTGCTGTTGATTATTGCTGCTGTTGATTATTGCTACTGTTGATTACTGCTGCTGTTGATTATTGCTGCTGTTGATTATTGCTGCTGTTGATTACTGCTACTGTTGATTACTGCTGCTGTTGATTATTGCTACTGTTGATTATTGCTGCTGTTGATTATTGCTGCTGTTGATTACTGCTACTGTTGATTATTGCTGCTGTTGATTATTGCTACTGTTGATTATTGCTGCTGTTGATTATTGCTGCTGTTGATTACTGCTACTGTTGATTATTGCTGCTGTTGATTACTGCTACTGTTGATTATTGCTGCTGTTGATTATTGCTACTGTTGATTATTGCTGCTGTTGATTATTGCTGCTGTTGATTATTGCTACTGTTGATTACTGCTGCTGTTGATTATTGCTGCTGTTGATTACTGCTGCTGTTGATTACTGCTGCTGTTGATTATTGCTGCTGTTGATTATTGCTACTGTTGATTATTGCTGCTGTTGATTATTGCTGCTGTTGATTATTGCTGCTGTTGATTATTGCTACTGTTGATTACTGCTGCTGTTGATTATTGCTGCTGTTGATTATTGCTGCTGTTGATTACTGCTGCTGTTGATTATTTCGTTGAGTATTTCTGATGTTGATTATTGCTGCTGCTGTTATTTCTGATGTTGATTATTGCTGCTGCTGTTATTTACGATGTTGATTATTGCTGCTGCTGTTTTTTCCGATGTTGATTATTGCTGCTGCTGATTTTCCTGATGTTGATTATTGCTGTTTTTTCCGATGTTGATTATTGCTGCTGCTGATTTTCCTGATGTTGATTATTGCTGTTATTTCTGATGTTGATTATTGGTGCTGCTGTTATTTCCGATGTTGATTATTGCTGCTGCTGGTTTTCCTGATGTTGATTATTGCTGTTATTTCTGATGTTGATTATTGCTGCTGCTGTTATTTCTGATGTTGATTATTGCTGCTGCTGTTATTTCCGCTGTTGATTATTGCTGCTGCTGGTTTTCCTGATGTTGATTATTGCTGCCGCTGTTATTTCTGATGGTGATTATTGCTGCTACTGTTATTTCTGATGTTGATTATTGCTGCTGCTGTTATTTCCGATGTTGATTATTGCTGCTGCTGTTATTTCCGCTGTTGATTATTGCTGCTGCTGTTATTTCCGCTGTTGATTATTGCTGCTGCTGTTATTTCTGATGTTGATTATTGCTGCTGCTGTTATTTCTGATGTTGATTATTGCTGCTGCTGTTATTTCTGATGTTGATTATTGCTGCTGCTGTTATTTCCGCTGTTGATTATTGCTGCTGCTGGTTTTCCTGATGTTGATTATTGCTGCCGCTGTTATTTCTGATGTTGATTATTGCTGCTGCTGTTATTTCCGATGTTGATTATTGCTGCTGCTGTTATTTCCGATGTTGATTATTGCTGCTGCTTTTGGTTATTGCTGTTGCTGATGGTTATATCTGTTGCTGCAGAGCAAGTACGCTGCTGTGAGCAAGACATGCTGCTGTACAATATTACAATTGTACATGAATTACCCGTAGCAGATCTATGCAAGTTGAGCAGGGGAAGGTGGAGGGTTTCTGAAAGTGCACTGCAACTGCTACAGCAAATGCTGACCAGTGTTTGAAAGTTGAGCAGCTCGTTGGCTACTGAGACATCAGAAACCAATCAGCTGTGCCCTATAGAGAATGATGTGATTGCAAGCAGATTGAGTTAAAGACCAAACAGCCTGTACCATCTAGAGTTTCATGAAATAACTTTTTATATATCAAAAGTTTAATAATTGAATACTTTTTATTAAGCTAGGATGCATGTAATTCATCCAAAGCGACTAATGTTTAAATAATATTGAACATTTTATTCATCAACAAATCCTGAAAAAAGTTGCCATCACTTTGCATCAAGTTTTATTTAGAGGTTTATATAGGGAAAACTTATAGGTTTTCTCTGATCCAGAGCATCAGATCATAAGTTGTTCACAAAAGCATGCACATAGTAACTAAATTAAGCATACTTTTACCAAATTTCAAAATAAATGTGTCTGTGAGGAATAGATTTGGTGCTGAAGGGATGGTGTTTGAAAGCTTTGTGTTGTGACCCAGTTCTCACATCGTGACAAATGCACGCCACACATCGAGCATATTACAGTGTGCAGAGAGGTGAAGTCATGTGAATCAAGCACGGAGCAGTTCGTTTAAAAAAGGCGAAGCATATAAAAAACTAAACAGTAACTTTGGCGAGTGCAGTAATGATGGAGCGGGACAGGCTGAAGCTTGCCTCCCTCTGCCTTTGTTGAACTGTACTGGGGCTTGACAGGACGAGGAAGTTTGGAGAAAGCTGGAGCAGAATGTTTAATGAAAGCAAGGAATCTGTTACTCCACGAACACTACGGAGGAGTGACCCTGTGTTAACGTGAAAGCCAGAGGAATGCAATTATCTGGCAATTTTGAACGCACACCGGTTGTCTTTCCAAAAAAGACTGAGTATCTCATTCACTTTGTTTGGATGTGTGAATAATGACGACTTGTTCTCCAGGACAAAAGCCATGGTAAATTCCCCGTTATGAAACCGGCAGAAAGGCCAAAGGTAAAAGCGAGCTGAAATCACACCAGATGTCTGAAGTCGCGAAGGACCCTTCAGACAAGGGTGGCTAAGTTTGGTTTTTTCCATCTGCTTAATGAGTTTTAGCATGAAGTCACACCTCTGGCATGCCTTTTTTAATTGTTGCAGGGGTTAATTGTCTTCTCTCAAAAACACTGAATCATTTTTATGTTTGAACAGGCCTGTTCTGACACGATTATTCTCGTGGCATACAGTCTTTCAGTACGTGGGATGCACGAGCAGCTGGAAAGCGAATGCCTTGAGGATGCGAATCTGGGAGACGGATCGACGCAGCCTTAAAGCCCAAATATGCAATATCAGTTGCCCAACATGACTCAAGTGCCCTAGAGTATGTGAAGAGTCTCTGCTGCGCGTAGTTTCAGAAGTTTGTTTCAGAAGTTTCACGGATTGCTCGTGGATCCCGGAGTGTCTGACCTCCGTTGGCCCCGCGGGAGCCGTTTCCACGGCAACCCCCCACTCCCCCGAAGCCCCTCCCGCTGCTGATAGTGAATTCCTGCAAGGTCAGAAAGAGAGAGACTCGTCTGTGCACTTGGAGACATTGATAAAGCAAACTGTACTGGTTTAACATGACCCGCCCCCCCCCCCTCCCCTCCCAATTTGGTATTGAATGTTTAGGACAGGATGTGCATTTCAAAAAATATATAAAATCTTAATTAAACCATTTAGAGAAAAGTAAATAAATAAAGAGATAATATAATAATATAATATAATTATTGGCACATGCTTTAGTAAAGGGACTTGCTTTTGTCTACTGCCAAATTTGAACTTTTCAAGCCTGAGGGCAACAGCATTTAAAACTTAACAGAAGTATACTTAGGTTTGCTGAAGCAATAACTACAATAAGAAAATAGGGTTACACTTTATTTTAAGGTGACGTATTTAGGCTACTTAGATAAGTACTGAGTAATATAAATGAACTAGAGTTACGGTTAGGGTTTGGTTTAGGGTTGTTAGTTGTAATTATGCATAATTTACTGTTATTACTATAGTAATTAAGTAGCCTTCATGTAGTAAAGTTTAACTGCGTCACCTTAAAATAAAGTGTTACACTTTATTTTAAGGTGTCCTTGTTACAGTGAAATTATACATTTAAGTACTGAATATTAATTATGTAGCTACTTACTAGTGTTATCTGTTACATATAATTATGTATAATTTATAGTAATTATAAATAATAATGCATTTTTTTTATTTTCTCATGTAGCCTCACCAATTAGCAGACAAATGCTAATGACTGCATTAATGTGTTTTACACTCTGTTGTGTTCTTAGATTTAAATAATTGGCAAAAGCATTAAATGGTCTATTAATTTGTTTGCATTCAGTTTGTGTGTGTGTTGATGGAACTTTTTATTTGATTTATTTTACTTTTACCAATAGGCCTACAGATACATTGAGAGAGAAAGAGAGCAACGCGCTGTTGTGGCATCTCTCCTCCCCCTCTCTCTCTCTCTCTCTCTCTCTCTCTCTCTCTCTCTCTCTCTCTCTCTCTCTCTCTCTCTCTCTCTCTCTCTCTCTCTCTCTCTCTCTCTCTCTCTCTCTCTCTCTCTCTCTCTCTCCGGAAGATCTGAAGGACTGAAGATCATGAGCGCTCAACTCGACCGTGTTTCTCCTCCTGATCTCCGCGCGCACAGTCTCCGCAAGACCAAGAAATAAAATAAAAAAAAACACACACACTCTCTCTCTCTCTCTCTCTCTCTCTGTCTCTCTATCCCTCTCAAATATTCACAGCAGCAGCGCCGGGAATAAAGCTTCATCCACGCTTGGACTCACAGTCTCGCAGTTGTGCGCTTTTATTGAATCAGTCCCTGTGTGAAGGCTCAAGGTGTGTGATATGATGTTGATGTGTGTTGGATTATTCAGCGTCTCTCTGATCGTCTTTGTCCAGCGGCCAGCCGGAGCTTCTGTCAGCAAAAACCCGCAAGGTAAGTTTCCCTCTCGATCCTCCACATGATCACGATATCCACCTTCTGCCCGAGGAATTACTCCTGGTTGATGATTTCTCATTAAGAACAACTTCTAGGACACAGTTTCCCCCAAACACAGCGCTGAAGTAGACTTAAACGGGTATTTTGAACATCTCTGAAGTGTTTATGCTGTGCAGGACTGCAGGTGTGTTTATTATCGTGCCTGTGGGGAATTTCGTGATGGATTCATTTTCTCCTTGACAGCAATAATGATGCACCAGACTGTAAAATATAGAGTATTTTTTTTTTAATGTAGGCTACGTTTACTAGATGTTGAAGAAACCAGTCCTGTTCGGCCTCTTTCTTATAGTCGTTTTTGTACGTTTTTGCTCACTGCATAGGCATATAGGTATGCATGTTGTCAAATTTTTGTTCTGCATTTTGACTGCCTTAGCAATTAGGGCTGCTTACACAACTGGATAAAACTCTCTAAATGTGTTCTTGAGTAAAGCAACCTCGAGTCCAGAGGGCACTGCCCAAAATCCAAAAAAGTTATAATTATAAACAAATGATAACAGGGTTTTCTTAACTTATTGGATTTATCTGCGGATCCGTCTAAAGCACCTGTAGAACAGGGTCATGCACTGCTGGAAATCCTCTAGATTTAAATGATTTATTCACAGTATGACACATATTGTATGACACACACAGATGGAACGACTCCATGCATTTTATTAATATGTTTTTTGTCAATTGTATTAGTTAATAATGTCTAACTATTGCATCAAAAGCAGCATGTGATGGCATAGACTCTGAAACAAATTACTTCAGATGTTCATAAAACTCAAATCCAGGCACTTTTATGGATTGATATGGATTTCATTATGTTTTTAAACACAGTGATGCATTATGTTTGTTTGTGAGCATGCTAATGAACTTATGTAGTCAGTTTCGTCAACATTTGGCTGTAAGAACAGACTAAACTCTTAAAAATATATGTTATTTGTTGGCTTTGATGGTTACATTAAGAACCTTTAACATCCATGGTATACCTTTCCACTGCACTGAAAGATCTTTGGAGTAAAAAAAAAAGGTTCTTTAGATTATTAAAATGTTCTTCAAACTATACATTCTTAAAAATAAAGGTTCTCCAAAGAACCTTTCAGTGATCAGTTCTTAAAAGAACCATTTTAATCATCTAAAGAACCTTTTGTCCAATGGAAAGATTCCATGGATGTTAAAGGTTCTAAATGGAACCATCGAAGCCGATAAAGTAGCTTAATTTTACCTTAAAAAAAAAAAAAAAGGTTCTTTTAAGAACTGTTCACTGAAAGGAACCCCAAATTGTTCTTCTATGACATCACTGTGAAAACATTCTTTTGGAACCTTTATTTGTAAGAGTGTAGATCTATTGGTGATGAAGGCGATTTTGAGCGTTTTTTAGTGTCTCTAGAACGCTCTCAGAATAAAGACATCTCGACGTCAGATTGAGGAGATCTAGATCCCAGCTGAGCACTCATTCCCCATCACTCAGCGACATGCTCTCCGCACAAACAAACGTCAACAAATGGCGACTCCTGGGGCTCCATCCACGCCGACCACATGTTGCACAGTTCCAAATGGAAAACAGTCTCACGGAGACCATTTAAAGGTATTTAGCACCATAAAGTCAAGCATTTGACGTTCACCTGAGACCTGATCATGATCTAGAGCCTGAAAGCGCCCAGTAAACCTCTGGGTGTTTACCACGCTTCTGCATGAGGACTGTAGGAATCGCGTTTGGTTTCGTTTGGAGGTCCCGGCTAATGGACTGTTACGCAAGCATGACGCGATGATGTCAGCGAACGCTCGTGTGCATATGTTCATGTCTGCTATGTGTGTATTCACATTTGCTGATGCTCAGAAGGTTTTCCTGACAGGCCGTGTGGACGACGGAGAGAAAGAGAGCGGGAGGGAGGGAGGGAGGGAGCTGGGGGTTGTTGTTCATCTTGGGTGGTCTGCTTCCCATTGTGGGAAAACTCAATATTTACATTTTGTAATTAGAACTGCTTTCACTCTTTCATTTTCCACAACAAGGATTTACGCACATCTTCCAGGGGAAGGTGGCAGCGTCGGGCCTAATGTCCTGCACCTGTTCATCACCGCTAGACGCTCAGGTCAGCGTTCCGTGTGTGTGTGTGTGTGTAGAGATGATGTTGTTGAGAGCGCATTGGTGTCGTTCATGAAAGTGGTTCTGCTCTTTGAGTTTTGTGCTCCAGATGTCATGGCAGAGCTGTTGAGTTTGTGATAATGCACTGAAACGACATAATGGAGAGGGAAATTGCACAGCAGTTGCATAGCAGTTTATATCAATCTTTAAAAAAAAAAACAATTTCTTTCTTAGTTTGCTCTCTGTCATTTTTTTCTGTAACCCGGTTGTACGCTTATTCACTTTTGCTTTATCTATCTATCTATCTATCTATCTATCTATCTATCTATCTATCTATCTATCTATCTATCTATCTATCTATCTATCTATCTATCTATCTATCTATCTATCTATCTATCTATCTATCTCTTTTTTATTTATCGGTTCTTTTCCTTTGTTCTTTCTTTCTTCATTTCTTTCATTTGTTCATTTACTGTTGTGCTTTCATTCTTCCTTTTCTTCATTCATCTGTTTGCTCTATGTTTTCTTTTCCCTCTTTATGTTGCTCTGACACTCTTTCATTCACTGGTTGGTTCATTCATTCATTCAATCATTATTTCGGTAACACTAACCTAGTGCTTATTTGTTACAGAATTTATTACGTTAACTTTAGTTAATCAAATTAGCTCAGGTCCATTTAATAACATTTATCAGATGCAACTTTTGAAATGATAATGCATTAGTAAATGTTTAAGTTAGCAAACTAAGATTAAATTCATTTGTTGTTAGTTCCTGTTAAATAATGTAGTTAACTCTTATCAAATTTGTAAAGTTGTTTTGTCATTCATTGGTTCTTTTGCCTTCAGTCTGGATGTGAATGTTTTGATTATCAAACGCATCAGTGGCGTATAAAACAGTGAGTGGTTAAAGTGTGCCGTTTGTCAGGTCAGTAGTTATTAAACGCAGATGTTCGCCAGATCCTTCACCGGTGTCACCGTAATTGCAGGTTACCAGCACCGTAAGATGATCACAATTCATTGTAAATGGAATAAGGATGCTTTTAAAACCCCATGTGCAGTAAATGACTCGAAGAGAAAGAAATGCTCATTTTCTTGAGGTGCTGAAGGACTTTTTGCGCGTCCACCACTTCTGAGTGTTTCTGGCCCGGATGTGCCGGCTAACAGTGCCAAGGCAACCGGCGGTGAGTTTGTGACATGCCACAGCGGTGTGTGTGTTGATGTAACCTCTAGTCCGTCTCCCCGTTCACCCCGAGGCAAAACCCCTGCCAAGCAGACCCTGCTGGACAACTCCAGTGTGGGAAATACACATTTCCCTTGAATAGCAGGAGCCCGAGGAGGAGGCCTGCCGGGGAGGGGTGGCGTGACAGCGGTTTGGGGGTTTGTTTGCTTTGTGTTGCCTTTCACTCAATGAAGTTGGAGTATTCTTTTGTAAGTCTGGAGCAATGGCCTTGTCAGAGGCGGGGACGGATGATCCCTCGGCGCTTTGGTTTAGAGAATATCTGGAACAACCCTGTAGGAGAGAACTATCGAATGAGATCTCTTTATTATCTCTGTTTTTTGCTTCTAGACTGCCAGATTAAATGGAGAAAATGTAGGTTTATGCGTCTCGGATGTTTCTCTTGAGGAAAACAGTTTTCTTTGTTTTAAAGAGTTTCAAAGAACATCCTAATGCCTCAAACTGTGCTATGACGCCAACATTTTATTTAAACTTTAAATTCTCCCAAAAACAAATGATATGAGGATGCATTTAAACAGAACCCCCCCCCCCCCCCCCCCCCACACACACACACACACAAAGATCTCAGTAATGTCTCGGCTGTTTCTCCTAGACTTCCATGAGAAATTGCATCAAATTCAAGTCGCTGACTTGTACGACCACTGGCTCTGCTCCCTTTTACGTATCAATCTATAATCAAAAGAATTTCAATGTGAACTTCAAAAGTTTATCAACACACACACACACACTCACACACACACACACACACACTGAGATCTCAGTAATACCTCAGTTGTTTTTCCTAGACTGCCAGGAGACTGAATGGAGAAAATGACTTTTGCCAAAGCTTCATGCTTCTCAGATCTCTCATGAGTTAAAAGAGTCTGTGTTTGTCTCCTTTAGGGTTTCAGAGGACATTTTAATGTCTCAAACTGTGCTCATTTGCCAAGACACCAAAATCTAGAATCAAAAGTAATTTCAATGTGAAATTTCAAAAGTTTATCATCAAATTCTCCCCAAAACAAATGATATGAGCATGCATTTGGACAGAAAAAAACAATGGGACCTCAGTAATGTCTCAGACTGCATGAGATTGAATGGAGGATGATTGATGTCTCTCCTGCTTCCCGGATTTTTCTCTTGAGGAAAAAGACCCCGGTATTCTCACACACCTCTCTCTTCTAGAGTTTCACTGGAGATTTTAATGTCTCAAATTAGGCTCGGATTTGCTGAGACTTAAAATCTGTAATCAATAATTTCACTGTCATCTTCAAACATTTATCATCAAATCCTTGCAAAAACAACATATCTGAGCCATCAATTGGAAAGAAAAAACACTGAGATCTTTAATACCTCAGCCTTTTCTTCTACATTTGGAAACTTTTTCTGCTTTTCAAATGTTCCTCTTGAGGAAAAATACTCAACAATCAGAAGTCAGAGATCTCAGTATTTCTCATCAAATCCTATCAACATTCTCATTTATATATATATATGTCAACTATATTTTATGACACCAATTTGTACTTCTTTCTTTCAGGAGAAGCATCTCAGGCATAGTCAATTTAAACAACTATTCCATCCAGAGCAATGACAGAAAAACTGACATTTGCAATAGTGTGTCTCTCTGTTTTGGCGAAATGAGACTTTGGTTGTT